TGATTAGCATCTGGGGATGCAAGGGAGCATGAGGAGAAATAAATTACACACTCTGAACATGCGGGTTTCAAATCTGGGACGCTTCGCAGCAAAACCCAGCTAGAGACATGAGGAGATTTTTTTTTAAAGATAATCCCTTCTTCATTTAGACATCTTATCCTAGTTAATTGGCTAATTTTATCTCTACATGTATTTATTCAGATGTACGGGGACAACTTATCTCCAGTCACACATATCTGACGCTTACAGACTTAGCACAACGTCATTTAATATGTTTGGAAATATCAATTTCCCATTTTTGCTTTTGGCAGATGATGTGCTAATGTCGACGTCTTCAAGTCTTGACTTTTTCCATGCAATGGAGCAGAGGGCATACTGGACTATAAATATATTTCAGACCCACATCCAGCATGCTTTCAAGGCTTGTGCTGCTAGCAGGAGATCCTGAAGCAGCTTCAGAACATCTGGAGAGACTTTACACGGTTAAGTATTAACAACATGTTTCCTCTAAACGGAGGAGTCCTGACTGGAATGATAGATAGAGAAGCCTTTTCCAAAGATAAAGCTTCAGAATACCAGAGGAAACAAGCAAAATGTGGGTCAGCAATTATGAGAAGCCTTAAGCAGCTCTAATGACAAGGATTAATTGATTATTGGGAAGGATTATTGATTTTTCAACATGCCAATTTTTGCGAGAATATTAATTAAAAATAATAAAGTTGGGCATGAATGTCATTTTCTAGCAGAAGCAAACATTCTTGATGATGATGACAATGATGATGGATGATGATGATGTTGATAATGATGATGATAACTCTAAATCTAAATATACCAGGGGTATGAATAATTTTATGCCTAACTGTATCCTTTCTGTCATTTTTGTGCCAAAAAATGAACTTGTGCAGATATGTTCTTAACACATCAGGTCCAAATAATAAATAACAAACTGGAATCAAGAAATGAAGCAAGGCAACGAAAAGGAAATCAAGTAAGATATAAAGTGTTGTGCACAGGATGCACAATATATTTCTCTATACTGAAACTAACCCAAAAAATATGTGGTGACACTTTTTTTGAAGAGGTGTGCATAATTGACTTTTAATGCAAATTTTAATGGAACTTTGCATTAAAAGTGTCATCATTTACTGACTAATGCAAAGTTTAGACTTTTAATAAACTTTTATTGCCACTTTTAGAGCACCTTTGAATTAAAACTTCCTGCTGTGATTTTGTTTATTGCAGTCATTTGAACATTCATGCATATTCCAGGTCCTCTCTTTCCTACTGTGTGTCATTTTAAAAATCACCTTTTAAAAAAACAAGTGGAAAAGAAAAAAATCCAACAACAGCAACAGAAAATCGAACAGTCTTTCGCAAGAGATCGCTGTGAGGCATTTGCAGGAGTACCTTCAGTCTGTGCCATTTGCTGCATTTATGTTACAACAATAGCAGCTATAATGGAAACATTTAAACGAGCCTTTCTGCAGAACAAAGGAAAATGTAAATAGTATTGATGACATCCAATGAAATCCCTGTTTGCTCGCCTGCTGAACATCAGGCCTCCAGGCTCAAGTCACGCCACGCTTTGGAAATAGAGCAGGACACTCACTTCCTCACAAGCATTATTTGACCTCTTGTAGTAAAGACAAATAAGAGTCTGTCTGACTCTTATTTCGGGGATATTCTGCTTTAAAGCTGCGTGTTTTATTGAGCAGAAAGTGAGCTGCAGAAACATAAACTCCGCACAGCAAATAACAGTGGATTAACTGAGTATTGTTCGTTGGCATTCATCTTTGCTGACACATCCCCACTTCTTCAAGTCCTTAATTACAGTTTACAGCTGGTGGGTGGTTACAATTGCTGCGTTTGCAGCCAGCGGAACACAAAAGAGATAAAGATGGCAGAGTGAGGGCAAATATGCTGAGAAAGTGTAACAAATATAACACTTATTCATCCTACACATGCATAAGAGAGGAGAGGAGCTACACATCCTCTTGAACTTGAACAAAAGCTTCAAGTTTGGGTCACCTGGGGTCCCGTGAGAGGTTCAACTTGAACAATGTTAAAAACAACACATCTTTCTATCCCTTCTTCTTCCGGGTTGTGATGCTGCATCCCTCTCAACATCACATTCAACTCTCTTTTGTTGACTCTCGGATGCTGACAGTCGCTACCCCGTTTTGTCGGTTTCAGCAGAGCTAATGACTGGCTGACTGGCTTCCTATAAGGAAGCACTTCATTACTGCATGGCACAGCAAGCAGGTGGAGCAGAGCCGTGAGTGCAGCGTCTGTGTTGCGCACATGGAGGTGTAAGATTTGATCATGCTGAAATCAAAACAGCCGCAGCCTTGTGTTTGTTCCATCTTTTTTTTTTTTTAATGCAAGCTCATTTATATGCCCATGGTCTTGTACAGACTGAATATAGTGTTGCAAATTGACGTTTTGCTGACGCAAATGCACATTATGATATATTTAGACTTGATTCTAACTCTTGATTTTTGAACATCTGATAAGCACACATTTTGCGTCTAAGTAATCTCGTGTTTTATTCACATCAAGAAACTGGAGTGTTGCCAAATAAAACCAAAACCAAACACATATAACACATGTAACAATGGAAATTATGGCTGCAAACTTCAATTAGTTTCATCAGACTATTGTCAAAAATGAAGCAAGTAATGTCAGACATTTTTCTGTGTGTTCCTCTATCTGTTGCACAAACCAGTTATTCACCTAGCACATCTTCTTCCACGTTACCGCAGTTCAGAACCAACAAGTTTTTTTATGCAATGTGGTTTCATGACCCCATTGCATAAAGCCAATCAGAAGGATTTGCTGCGGTAAGTAAAACGCTTCAAACCACATAGCAAAGCTATCAAACCAGGTTATTATTAAAGATTTGAAAATCAAGACACATCACATCTGCACTCCTACGGTTTGGAACTGCATAAAAAGCTTTCTAAAACAAATTAGTTAGTGATTCTTTCATTTCCTCTGTATGTTTGGTCTCTATTGAATTCCACCTTCGGCCCAAAGCCACTCGCAGCTGAACAAAATGGTTGCTAAACTCTTAAAAATATGAGCTAAGGAGGAGAAAAGCACAACCTCAGCCATAACCAATCAAACGCAGGAAACGGAGAAAAAAAAGGTGCTTTAGGCCTTTTTTCGAGGATTAGTTTCCACTTTATAAATCGGCACAGGCTGCAGCAAACAACCAAAGAGACGGTCAATGAAACAAGCAAGCGGTTCATTATGAAGGATTTACTGTGTTAAAACTTCTAATTACCACATCTATGGCATTTCAGTACCGACACTGCAAATGGCATTTAAAATGTGAACCTCCAGTCAGCAAAGGCAAAAATCCTGCATTATAACAAAAACAGGGATGTTTGTTCTCTGTTTTAACTAGATTATGTGTTCTGAAATGTTGCTGATGTTTAAAAACAAAACCATATTTCTAATGATACACAATTGTTTGCGAAGCAAAATTAAACTATATTGCAGCAGACTAGATCAACTTATATCGGATTGCTAAAATAGAAGACTTGCCAGAATATTATTGTTGGATTGACAAGTGATGTTTAAGTCCACAAACGATAAAATGTTTCTGTCCTTAAAGGTCTGAGTATGTTCTCTGGCCAGAAATTTCTAAAAGTCTCAAATTTATTTAAAGTCATCAAGAATTAAAGCTCACAAAATTAAACATTTTTGTTTTTCTAATAATGTGGTTGCACTTTCAGAGCTGCGTGTTGTCAGGTCAGGGGGTGTCATATCTGTTGATGTGTCATGCCGGATGATTAAAAGCCTCAAAAAGCTGGATGACGTCTGAGCAGAAAACATCTGCAATGTGCATAGACTGCTCTGTGTCTCCAACATCCCACCAGCTCTACAATAAGGGGAGCCGAAAGGTCACTGAGAAAGAGTACCATCAAAAAGGTCCTTTGATATTGCAAATTAACATTGATATTCATGGGGATAATTATTGCAATTCACGTCAAATACCAGCCATTAGTGCTGCAGTGTTATGGGGAAAAGGGGGCTTTGGTTATTAATAGCTACTTATCAGACAACTGTTGCTGGCTGAAAAGCCTTGCTTGCTTCTGACTAACATCTATATCCATGTTCCATTAAAACAGACAGGACAAACCCTCTGCAATTCCCCTATTAAAATGGCTTTCACAATAAACCTGTGGCTACAGCATTCGCCAAAGTGCAGATTTATGAGAACAAATGTAAATTTTGTAGCAATCTGGTTTGATAAACCAAAAACAACATGTTGTTTTGTACTATTGTCAGACTTTGTAATAGTGAAAAAGTGCAAAGAAAATGCTTTACTTCAAAATGTTGTAGCTAAAATATATTAAATCATTTTTTGGGGGTTGGTGAAGGGGAAGGAGGGTATTTAGTACCCTTAGAGCAAAGCTATCAAAGGAACAGGATCATAATTAGTTACTGGCATGAGTCAAGTTTCATCAGCATCATATCTAAACAAGATTGACAGGGCATCAAAGTATGCAGAGGATGGTGGATGCTTTACAGACTATTAATATGTACACGTTTTACCCTGATAGATTGTTTAATAGTAGATATTTGCCAAAATTATTTTTACATCTCGGTATTAAAATAACATTTTATCTTAGGTAACAGAATTGTCTTAAACTTGAACTCAAAGCAACAACCTTTTTTTCAAATCAAAATTCTTTTGAAACACATTGTATTTGTATGCTGGAAATACAGATTCACCGCCAAAAAGAAAGGCTTAAAATAAATGATTAAAAGTTTAAAATGTTTATCAATAACTGATAATGATATATGAAGTACAACAGGAGGAAATTGAAGCCTAAAATTGAACCTGAACAGTTGTGACATCGGTCAGTTTGATAGATTTGTGTGAGAGAGGAAGGTGGAGGGATGATGACACACATATCATGTGTCTGTCTCGTTTTGTTTACCTAAATGTCAGCCTGCTGGGACAGCTGAGTTCATTTACCTCCCCATTAGTCAGAGTAAACTGTTCCAAAACAGGCAGCGTCTCAGGGCTGTGAAGCGAACATGACCAGGTGAGTGTCGGCTCTTCTTTTTTTCTTATTTTTTTTTCAGAGTGTGATTCCTCCAACCTGCTTCTATCCCACCTAATTTTCTGCAGTGGCATCTGTGCATTTGCCCTGTCTTTCCTCCTTGGTTTCTCACTGAGTGTGGAAATGACCGGGTTATACGGCAGCTTCGCCTCCCCTGGATTCCCGCAGCCATACCCCAACAACCAGCTCGTGGTGTGGAACATAACCGCTCCGCACGGCCACCGCATCAAGCTCTACTTCACCCACTTCAGCTTGGAGCCCTCCAATCAGTGTGAGTACGACCACATCCAGGTGAGCTGCATCTAAACAAAGCCCCGTTTGTGCAAACCGGAACTCCTTGCTCACCAAAGAGGCCTCCAACCCTGTCAAAACAGGTTTTGGCGGAAGGGAATGAAACCCTGCGGTTCTGCGGCGAGGAGGAGAAGAACCACGAGAGCACCCCCAGGAACACCATCATCATGTCAGCCGGGAACGTCATGTCGGTGGTGTTTAGGAGTGACTACTCTAACGAAGGCCGATTCACTGGCTTCCAAGCGTTTTACACCTCAGAAGGTGATGGAAAAATGTGACGTTTGTTCCCAGAAGGCAAATAGGACATCAGCAGCAGCTATATTGAAATGTTTTAAAAGTTCACGTAGAAACAATGGGACTATTAGAGCATCGTAGGCGCAGTCAGCTTTTAAGCCTTACACATCTTATGAGAAAGACTGACAGAAGAACAAAAAAATGTTCAAACTTGTTTGAAGAAATGTAGGTACTCCTCCACCTACCCGTTGTCATGTTGTATCTCTTTTCTACAAAAGTGGGTCCATTCAGAAGACAAACCCCCTAAACCATCCACACTTCTTTAACATTTTTAACCTTTTTGCTGTTTTATATGATGAGCTCAAAGGAGCCACATATATGCATTTAAAACTTTTTACTCTGATACCCCAGAATAAAAACTAGTGCTTTTGAAATTCCCTATCAGTAAATGGCATCCATTCAAATCTCTATATAAGGAGCTGATCTGACCAGGCATTAAAGTAGTATTGATTTTCAATTTGCAAGTTGATGCAACTTAAACTTGAAAGAAAACCAGCAGGATGAATAAAAATCATTTTTATTTCCATAGTTTTTTTTAAATTTTTTTAATTGTGACTGGTTTAGTTGGCATCTTAATGATGTTTGCTTTGTAGTAGTTTGTAAATGTTAACAGGAGCATCTTTCAAAAATAAAAATGACATTGGTCACAGTGAGAGCATGAACATTAGAACATGAATAAAACAATGGCAAAAATCTAAATAAACATAGTTAATTGACAACAAATATGAATAATTTTCATAGATATTATGAAGTATGAGTAAGAATATAATCAGCAGCACCTTGAAAGACAGAGTTGAATACTAAAGAATGAGAGCTCAGTCTCGAGGTGGAGTATAAACAATTCAAAGCCCGAGAAGTTAAAGTCAGGATGTCACAATGAATCCTACAGACCCATTCAGTAAATTAGAATATTATCAAAAAGTTCACTGATTTCACTGACTCTATCATCATGTAGAAAATTGTAGATCAACCAGACAAGAACTACCTGTTTTAATACCTTTATTTCTTTTAGTCTGAGAGATTTTCTGCCAACAGCCAGTGACGAGATAGCAACTAAAATTAGTGTATTATATTAGATCAATAAAAAAGTTTAGTTTTTTAAATGTTGGCTTAATGAACATTATGTTTAATACCTGCTCAACAGGTACTTTTAATCTGACAAATGAGACTTGTGACATATGCTCTAATTTATTGAATAAGACTGCACAGTAGACATGTTACCTCTATAAGACATAAAGATAAATGTGAGTTATTCTGTTTGTCATCGCTGCAGAGCTTCAGACCAACTAAAAGTTATCAAGAATGTTTTTAATGCATGTGAAAAATGTCTAGACAAGAGCTTTTCTACCATCTTGAGGAAACTCACCATGACTCCAAGCCTTCAGACAACAAAGCATACACAGCTATGCTTTGAAGCATGCTAAACATACCGAATGTGAGTGGGTGGATGGATGGATGGCACACTTAAAAAAAAGTAGTGAGGGGGGTTCTGCATTCTTCGTTTGCATTTTACTCAGAGTTCATTGGAGTTATTTTATTTCTTTGAGGTGTATGGTAACAAGGACCACACCTTCACGCTTTATTTTCTTTCCAGGTTCTTTTAAGGTGCAGCAACCCGGCCTGCTGTAGCATCAAACCTCAGCTGGCTGATATTTTACTGTATTACACTAAATAGTGCAATGGAAATAAATTAATTGTGAGTATGGCTCATGTGCTAAAGCAGTATTGGCTTTCACTGCTCAGGGTGATGAATCCAAATAAATATTCACAGTTGAAACAGTTAATAGGCTCAAGGCACCCTCCAGGCTCACACGTCTCATTAAGACAGAGTGAAAAGATACAAATGTACCGAGTAACACTAAGCCATCAACCTGTGTCGGTCTCTTCCAGATATCAACGAGTGCCTATTCAGGGTAGATGGCGAGCGAGTGTGTGACCATTTCTGCCACAATTACATTGGCGGCTATTACTGCACGTGCAAGCAGGGACACCTTCTCCATGACAACAAGAGATCCTGCACAGGTAGGAGCAACCGGAGCTGAAGCCCAAGAGGGGTGTTCGTTTGGGCTCACGATGAGGTGTGGTGCTAAAGAGCTCGGCATGAGGGAATGACTGCATTAGTAGTTATAAAGCAGAGCGGATGAACTCACGCTGAGCCTCTCAGCCTCTTGTCTCCGTCTCAAACAAGTGGTGAAAATAAGTCCTCAAAATGCCTCACTAACACAACGTTAAGATTCTAAGACATTTTAAGCAAGATGAAAATGCACCTACATATAGTGAGATCCCACCATTTGTTGGTGTCAAATCCTTTGCAGAAAATAATGATTTGACTTTTAACATAAGGCTCATAGTAAGTGTAAGATGTTGGATTTTATAATGTAGTAGGTGTTAATTCCAGGCTGAAAACAAATTCTGATGCATGCAGTTGCTGATCTCCAGCAGCTGGTGCGCAGTGAGGTTAATCACAGCCGATTCCTCAGGGAAGAGCAACTTCAAAATGGCTATAAAAATTGATACCTGTGTGCAGCACTTACAGCGCACCGGCACCAGGTAATTAATCACAATTACCATCTGATGTGCCTTAAATTATTATACTTTGCCAGGGGAAAAAAACGGTGGCACAACAAATCATGCAATGAATAGACAGAAATGATTATCTGCCCACAGATTGTTCTAATTATATAAATTACAGCAACTCTGCCTCTTTGCGGAAGCTCATTTGTTTTTGTCCATTACTTCATCTGCACACTTTGCCAGGGCAATAACACAGATCAAAATTAATCTAATCTTTTATGGTGCCAGTGGAGAGAGCAATTCACAAAGAAATGTTCTTTTCTCTCTTTAAAAAAAGAGAGAAAAATCCAACGTGACAAAGCAGTTGAAGGAAGAACCCAATTTTAAGACTTCAGTATCATTCACTGAGGTGTGAACACTGGGTATAGGGTTCCTTCGTGCTCTGGAATGGTACAAAAAGTGCTTTCTGCATTTTCCAGGTGGGTACGATTCTTATATTCTAAAGTGTTTAACTCTATCAGGATTTAAAGGTAAGTAAATCTGAAAAGGTGAGTATTGACACAATGCTTGCGTATGAACCCACTTACGTCCAAAACAAGTGCAAATTTAATCTAATCTGTGTTTCATCTACAGTGCCCTGCAAAAGCCAGGTGTTGACGTCAGAATCTGGAGCTCTCACTAGTCCTGGCTACCCAAACCCCTATCCACCCATGAGCCAGTGCGATCACACCATCAGTCTGCCAGAGGGCTCCAGAATCATTCTCCACTTTTTGGAACCTTTTGACATTGAGGGACACCCTGAAGCCCCCTGTCCATATGATATGCTCAAGGTCAGTACCGCACAAGGCTAATGTAGACAAGACGATGAATAAGTAATGTATTCCTCCCCATGGCTTTCAGACGACCTGTCACTGACTTACCCTCTGCCAGCTGATTTACTACACGCTTCTGCGTTTTCTTGCATATTTGAGTTTGGCAGAGCATTGGTCAGGGACCCAATGAGTCAATCTTCTTTTTAACTTATGGATGTTTCTTTTTTGTTGTTTTTTTTTTTTTTTTAAGATTTCAACAACTGGACAAGAGTATGGGCCGTTCTGTGGCTTGACACCACCAGACTCTATTGATACCGGAAGTTACCAAGTGCATGTGGTGTTCAGGTCTGACTCTACTGGGAAAAACAAGGGGTGGAAGATCAAATACACCAGCACCAAAGCTGAATAGCTATCATAACTTCAAAACTGATGGCTTCCTGTCTGGATATTTTCCTCTGCAAGTTTTAAGATGTTTTTTTTATTTTTTTATTTTGCTATTAATAATTATAACAGTCTTTAAGTTTTGTTCTTTTTTTCTGACTTTTTGAACCACTACAATGACAATTAAATGCACGTCACCTGCAATTTCAATTACACCTCTTAATTTTTACTTTTTAGTAAAAATTTGAGTAGTACGCAATTGTTTTGAAAAAGTGGAAGCTCAGTTATTTTGGGAGTTTAAAAAATATTAAGGTGGTCATGCATTTGTGTTCAACCCAGTTTTATGTACAATTACAGAAGAGCCCTTTATTTACAGTCAAGTGAGTTTTAAAGGTATTTATTCTGAGTTCGGCTGTTCTGTTCAGGCTACCGAAGACCAGGAAACAGCACATAGGACTGGACTAAAGTTGTGGAGAAGTTTAAAGAAATGTTAGGTGACAAAAAGAATTCTGAGTGTCCGATCCATCAGCCATGTATGCCCATAGATCAGGGATTTTCACCTACAAGGAAAAGGCAAAACAAGTATTTACCTGAAAAACAGCCAATAAATAAAAAACGCAATTTATCATCTTCCTTTTATTTCACAAATATTCACCATTTGGTGTTGGTCTATCATCAAAAATCCCCCCAAAATGCAAACATTTGTGATCAATGTGAAAAGGTCAGAGGTTGTGACTACCTCTACTCTTTCATGCATCATTCAGCTCATTTATTTCATTTTTATCAAGACATTAATTACACTCATTTTCTCTCATCTTTTTCCGCCTCTTTACAAATTGCTCGGTTCAATTTAGTGGATTTTTTTATTAGACCTACTCTGAGTTTTTGTTGTGATTAAACAGATACATACTTCCTTAAATTCAGAAGGTCTCAGCTGAGCCACACAGAATAAGATCTGTTTCCAGCATGATGTGCTGCGACAGCCCTTTGGGGAACCCGGGTGCTTACCGGAGCGCTCTCGAGTCACCATCTCATCCTTACAGACAGCGTGACATACGATAGTGCAGTGCAGCTGACTGCTCAGATACTGCATCACGCTCGCGCCAAACCGTTCAGCCGAGGTGGAGCCAGCTTCACAGGAATTACGCACACCATGATTCCCATTAAGTAGCTGTTGGAGGAAAAAACCCCAGCAGCAGTGAGCTCAGAACTCGTGTACTCACGCAGAAACATACTAAACTGGTGCACAAAAATGCGAGGCCAAGACAAAAACTTTAGACACATTTATTTACCAAAAGACATGTGAAAAGTAGCCTTTACATCATATTACACAGATGTTACACCTTGATGGATCCTGGAGAACAATCTGCTTAAAAACTATTCATGAAAAGGCTTCTCACCGAAGCTCAACTGGTTTTGCAAAGACACAATACTCACTAATTATGCTAGGACAGTTGGGAATGGAGCACGTTTTGTCTGTATTCTAATCTTGCACACAAAAAATGCAAAAAGATTACGCAAGTAAAAACAAGTACATTGATTCTGTTCAGTGTTCCAGAGATAAGAGGACACAACAGAGAACCTACCGCGTGTTCATGTCACACGGACCAACACACGCAGGCTTACATCACACATCCATCAGACCAACACATGACTGTCAGGATTGTATGGAAGATGTACACGTAAATCTATCACAGGACATAGACAAGATGTTAATCTGGCAGTGTTATCTGCTCACAAGTTCAAAAAAAAAAAAATCACCATTTGCTGCAATTCAGGACTATGAGATAATTATAAAAAATACTACAATAATTATATTTGAATTCAACTTTAAAAGGAAGATTAGCGGATATAATTGTGTATTTTAAGAATTACAAATATTTCCGTATTGATGAGGTAACTATTTGATGAATACAATACCAATATTTTTTAATTTCCACGTACAAATAATTATGTATTTATTTATTTATTTATTGTGGCACTTTTAGCTCTCGATACCTGCCAAGTACTGGATGACATCAATTTTCAGCAAAACCACACTTGCCTCCATTACATCTTTATATATAAGATTACTGGGAGCTAGCATGTTAATATTCATAAGCATATGTTTGTCTGTAGCCATCATCCCAACATAACACCATTATTGAAACCAAAAAGTGGTTAAACACATTCAAGCTGAACACATTTGTGCAAATCAGCCCAGGCGCTCTCCAGACATCCACCAACTTCACTGCTTTCTCAGCATTCTCAAAACGACGCGGAGATCCACATCTTCAACATTCTTAGCAGTAGCTACATAAACAGTAACACAGAGCAAATCCCATTTTCCTGACCCCGAGGCAGGTTAGTGTGAATCCTTATCAGTCTCTGCTCGGTCAAACCTAGCTGCCCCCACGGGGAAGAGCCACTGTTCCCGTCTCCTCCCCGTGTTTGCTGCCGTCCTGCTGCGTGCCGCTGATGGACTGCATGGCCTGAATCTGCTGCAGGCGCGTCGACAGCTCCGCTTCGCAGGCCTGCAGCAGCGCGGCGGTCCTGTCTGCATCCCAACCCAGCACCTGCTGCATGGCTTCCAGCCCTCTGCTCACTACCGCCTGGAAGCACACATAGCCGAACACACATAACAGGACTTCAAACAAAAGAAATCTATCTACATGAGAGGTTTTATAACTTCACAGGAATTTGGATGTGATACAATCTCATGAGTGGCAAATAGGAAATCATTGTGTAAAGAGGTCAGGCGGTTCAAAGCCACATATGGCAGAGAACTGACATCACTACACAAAAACACACATGGTGGAGATACTGTTTTTCAGTCGGCGCAGTGAAGCTGGTCAGAGTTAAAGGGAAGACAAAAGCGGTTCAATGCAGGGCAGTGGTGCAAAGAAAACTGTTGAGAGCGGCAAACGACTCAAAACTGGGAGGTTTCAAATCTGCAAAGCTGGTAGACACATGGGTCAAGTGAGTAAAAAAGGGTTGGAACGTCAAACCATGGGAAAATGTTTAAAAGGTATCAGTACACTTGCCAGCCTCTGTCGTCTCTTTAAGGTATTTTCACATGTCAGACTGAGTGGGGTCCCTGGTATTAATGTGCGCCCTGAGCAACAAGCGCACTGCTCAAAGTTGGGGTGTGAAATGATGGCCTCAATTTTTCCCCTATCAGTGTGCTTCCAGGACCACAGGCCCACTCAGCCTGCTGATGAATAATAAGCTGTTTTTCCTGCAGACGGTTCAGTCTCCCCTGGCGATTAATCAGACATTTTGAACACTAGTGGCCAGCTGCATGAGAACAAATAAAGCTTTTGAATTGCTTTCAAATATAGGCTGGTTAACACATATAAACACATATATAACTGATTATGGACAGACCAGGTCTTAACGTTATGTGCATGTTTTTATAAACTATAAAAAATACAAATTATATAAGAAACACCTCGCACCAGATGGAATGAGACAAGAAAAATACAACAGAGTTCACAAAACAGCTGGGTTATGGTTTTGTTGCAAGGTTCTGCTTAAGTATTATAAATCTTTGTAGAGGTCTGGATTTTCTGATAAAGGTGTTTTTACATTATTGTATTTAGATCATTTAAGCCGTTACAGAGCAGTGGTGAGAGAATACCTGCAAATCCTCAGTGGAGAGTCTGGTCTCTGGACTGGTTTTGCCTTTCAGGACCATCAGTGTCCTGGACATGAACTCGGACGCAGAGTCGGCCTCCAATCCGTCCAGCATATCCACATTTCCAACACCTGACATATCAAAACAGGTCTTCTCTTATATTCAGAATAGATTGTGGTTAATTGGTAGAAATATTAGGGATTATTGAGGAGCTGCAATGACTCCATCTAGTGACCAACGGGTAAAAGTGCAACAAGGTGTTATGAACAATCAAAATGTGTAGAAAGTACATTTGATCTCTGAAACATCTAGAAAATGACCTCTAAAAAAGTTTGATTTTTTTCCTTAATATTGTTTTCTTTAAATTCAGGCAAATATTTTCCTGTTGAATAAGTTTTGTGTAAACTAAAACCAGGAAGATAGAGCATATAACACCAGTTTTAAAGTCCCTCCATTGGCTCCCTGTAGCTCAAAGAATAGACTTCAAAATATTGTTGTTAGTTTACAAATCACTGAACGGTTTAGCACCACATTACATCAAAGATCTGCTGTTATTGTATTAACCTTACAGACCTCTCAGGTCTTCTGGTTCTGGTCTGCTTTGCATCCCCAGAACCAGAACCAAGAGAGGAGAAGCAGCTTTCAGCGTCTATGCACCAAAAAATTTGGAACAAACTTCCAGAAAACTGTTAAACAACGGAAACCCTGACTTCCTTTAAATCTCAACTAAAAACACACCTGTTTAGTATTGTATTTGAAACGTAATACGTAACAATGTATTGTTTATCCCATGATGCATGACTTTGTGTTTTTGTGTTTATGATGTAAAGCACTTTGAAATGCCTTGCTGCTGAAATGTGCTACACAAATAAAATTTGATTGATTGATAGTAAGATATTGATGGTCGAAAACTCATTAACATCTCCAAAATGCCTAAGAATACATTTCTATTTTATTATAGAAGCATAATCTCACATAACAGATTCATTCAGTAGAGAAAAAGAACACTATAATAAAAATAACATTGTTTTCTTTTTATTCATAATTTTTGTCAACCCATAAATTAGAAAGAAATTACTGAAACATTTCTTCTTGTTCCCAAATAGCTAGGGACATTTAACCGTTTGCCAATGTTTCCCTGGAATATAAGAAGAGAAGGATAGACAAAGTACAGGCATAAATAAGAAAGGAATAAATTGACAAAATTAAGGAAGGAGGAAAGATAAGCAGATGAAGAAGGATACAGAAAAGAAAGGATGGAAAGAAGGGCACAATATTTGACAAATGATAAGGGACCAAAATCTTGATGTAGAAATATTTTTATATCTCTTCATTTCTTTTTTCAGACTAGATACATACTGAAATCAAATCCCAGAGTTTGTAGGAACTTGTGAACAACACATTTTTCCTCACTAAATCAGACGCAGAAGATTTTACAGAAAAATTGCCAAAAGGTTTCTGTTAAACATTATTATCTCAAAAGAAATACAACATACTTATTCTCCTGACAAAGGAAAAAAAGTATTTCAAACTGTTCAACCGCTTTCCTTCATGAGACAAGGATAAAATCCCATAGATCGTCTTTTACAATAACCATTTTCATGTAGGCAGAATCAAAATATATTTTAAAAAAGCAGTAACTACACATTTATTTTGCCTTACCGTCCTGACTAGAAGGACTTGTGGCTCCCTGCTGTCTGTCCTCGTTCTCCACAGTTTTGAGGTATAACTGGAGCAGCTCTTTGGACTGCCTTTCCTCCTCCCTGCGATCCAAAACCCTCTGCAGTGTCTCCTGAAGTTCCTCTGCCTTCTTCTCTTGGAAGCCCAGGGCAGAGGCTAGTTTAGAGCACGGCACCTCCACTAAGGACTGGGAGAGGAAAGTACAACATTCTCTTGAAACGTCACATGTATGTGAAAGTATGCACGAATGAAAAACTGTATCTGCTTGAAAGATCCAACACCTTAAAATGGCAAGGAACTATTGGAATGTGTTTTTTGTTGTTGTTGTTGTTGTTTTTATGCAACCTTATTTATCGTTTTTGTTTTCTTTTTTATGTATATTTGGGCTTTGAGTCTGTGTAATAAAAATCTATCTATCTATCTATCTATCTTATTTCTAATCTGCAACACAGGATTCTAAAGTGAAACAGTGAAATGCTGCCCGTACCTGTAGGTCTCCCTCAGACATGAGAATGATACTGGTCAGGTCTTGCTTCAGCTGCAGTGCTAGATTGCACCACGGCGCCTCAACAATGAAGGAGTCGACGGTATCAGTTTGCAGAACCACAGACTCTCTCACCATCCAAGCCGTGCCGCCATCAACTGTAATAACAGCGAAGAGAGCAACAAAATACATAAAATGTGCATTTTTCCTCCCACATCAGGGTGACAATCTAGGCTTATGATAATTAGACCTGCTTACTCTTGCGAGCTGGAGCCCACGTTTCTTTGTCATGCAGCAGCATGAACTTGGTGTTAAAAGGCAAACACAAAAAGTAGGCTTGATCCTCTACTATGGTCCCATCATCCTCGAGGACCACAGTGACTGGGTCTGAGGGGCTCACTCCCAGAAACTCACATCCTGTTGGAGGGAGAGCAATTTTGAGTTAACAGATAATGAACAAAAAAGCATGTCGACCTGAGTAATTCTGTCACAACGTAGTCATAACACCACCGGAATTGCAATCGAGAAACTCTACAATGCCAACCGAAAGCATTTATTCCCCTTTGTCAACTATTTTCAATGAGTTTATGCAATAAACCACAAAAAAAAGAATCTGATTTTTGGTGTGTCTCATACGTCAGCAGTGACATTTACACTTGTGTTTCACAAAGCAGATAACTATTCAAAGGATAAACAGCTGCAGCAATGCGCAACCCAAGAAAATCAAATGCCTTCGATGGGCAGAGGCTGAATGGCTGCAGTGAAAAGGGCCTGGTGACTAGCTCTCTAGGAATGAACACAAACAGAGGACTGATTTCTAAGTTTTAAGACTTGCAGGTTCGAACACGACTGGAATCGACTTGTCCCTGTGTGCAGAAACAAGTCGTGAGTGCTCATGATTGACAAGCTTTAACTGAGCAGTGAAGGCACCACGAGTCCAGAATATCGTCAACATCGTTAACTCTTTCCTTTCACTTCCATGTTGTCTCTGACCTGAGGCGCAAACCCAAATGGACATGGACAAAAAACAGTAAGTGGAACTTCACGAATTCGATAGTCATCTAACACAACCTGTTTGTTTAAATCACAGTTCCTCGGCAAATGCTGAACTCATGCCGACTTACCTTTTTTCTTCAGATCATCCAACGAGGGAACAACCACTCCGCATGACTTCTGCCGTGTGAAGTTACACACTTTGCAGGGTCTCCCATCTGTCATTATAAGACTCAAGCTTTGAGTCCTGTACCGCTTTTGAGTTTTCAACCTAGAAACCACGAAACTACAGTGCTAAGCTTTCAACTGGGCTACTTCTGCCTTTTCGAATGCGGAACCGCCACTGGGGCGCTACGAATGCTGGGATGTGTAGTTTTTACGAGAAAAGAATGTTGCGAAACAACAAAACAGTCAATTAAGATTGCACTTGTTTTTACATACTCTTGTCTTGAAATAGAGACAAAATCAGCTAAATTGCAAACACTTTGTGTTACTTTATACCTTTTATGTTTGAAACCATGACAACACAAAAACACACAGACGCTACAGCTAACGTACGCACCTTTCCAGTATTTTAGCAGCCAAGACTCTGATAGGAGTCATGTAAGAGCTAAAACACATTAAGCATTTATTTGAGCGTTACAAACAAGAGCCATCTTCAGGAAAAGCAATCGAGCGTGATACCGTCGACCTATCGGGGGGGCTGGGAAGATGGCATCCACCGAGCAACCTGATCCACCAACACAGGTCTTTCTTTGTCTATCACCCAACATTTACCTCATATCCTCCAGATATCACTGGGAGCTCTTCAAATTTGCTTCTAACTGTCGCTTTTACGCATTAGCCTTTTAGCGGTTACTCCAGTAACCGCTCAGCTAATGGATGCTAGCAGGCTTGCTAGCTAGCATGCTAGCTAGGGAGCGTTTAAAAGTTTCTTTTCACCCAAACTGCTGTACATAAGTGGATGTAAATAAGTTGTAGGGTTGGCCTTATGGTTTCACGGATAACATGGTTAGTTTAAGTTACTGTCCTACCATTTATAACGCTCCCACGTTGCTGAGTTTTTTTTATTTCTAATTTGAACATGGAGTCATGACTGTCATGAGTAGTTGTTGGTGTGTGCAGGGGAAAGGTCATCCACAAAGGAGCCACAAGACTGGCTGGTAGAAGTTTGTCTCTAAAGAGTTGACTGGAGTTAATATCTGTGATTTTCTATTTATTGCTTGGCTAATAAGTTACATGATTGCATTGTAAATACATGCAGTAAACTTACCAAACAGAAGGTAAAGATGGAATGCATGCTCACCACTAAACCATTTGTGAACTCTCACAGTGACAACTATCATATAATAATCATGCACAACAAAATTAGAACCCCTCAACTTATATTAGGCTAGATATTAACATTGCGATTATTAGCAAAAATGAATCTGTAAATTGACATAAGCCCTGGTCTAATGAATTAGGCTGAACTATCTGTTACATCCATGTAATTTTAGAAATGAAACATTTGTCCAAAAGTTTATCTCTACATATCATTCTACTTTTTTAATGCATCTTATTGCTCTTTTATCAATGGGATTGGTTTTCTCTTTATCAGCCCCGTTTGACAGGTCAACTACTGATAACAATGAAAACATTTTTTCCCTGATGCATAAGTAACCATCCTGTAGGTCAACATTACTATATTGCAGTACGGTGCAAGCCACTTCAGCAAATTGAAAGCACAATTACAAATTACAAAAGCACTACAACATGAATGAAAGCATTACAACACCAACAAAACAACGTAAAGGATGTAAAAAAAAAAAAGCCTGAAATGAATTCAGGTGATGTGCTGATTTTCCTGATCCAATCTTACATTTTGCACATTCAGTTGGGGAGGGGGCAGTGAAAGATCCAACAGTAAAATAATTTTTTTGCCACACTTCTTCAGACATTTGCTACATAAAAGAAGTAAAATTGAAGGCAAAGTTTCAAAGAAGATTCAGGACTTTCTGCAGACTTGGTCATATTTCATTTGCTGAAGTGGTTTGCACCTCAAAGCCTCTGGAGACTCTGTTTTTGCAGAGTCTCCAGTTAAATTTTTTCTGCTTAAATGTTTTGGTCCTTAGAAGAAAAAAAAGCCCCAGAATTAGCAGGTTTGATGTCTAACAAAGCTAGAAATGTTTTTGGCCAGGAAAAGCATTGTTGGTGCTTCTTTACTTTTATACTCTTGCTTCAATTTGTCCAAAGCAGGATTTAGGTCATAGGACCCTGCTTTTTATTTATTTTTTTTTTTGGTCTTCATTCCTTTTTTTGCTCTGATAGTGAACTATAGCAGTTCTTTCTACTGTCAGATATATTTTTTTATTCCATATTAGACTTATTTTTTGTGTGTGTGTTATTTAAAACAGAGCTCTGAGTGAAGTACGTGTTTAGTCTTCTAACCTTTTAGAATAAGGTTGAAAATTAGAACTTAATTTTGGGTTTTCATTACCTGCAAGCAGTAATCATCAAATTGAAAATAAAAATCTGTGCAATGAATCGTCACTGTTTAAATCAAACAGATGTAATTTATTATCCCTTAGGTTATATTCTAATTTACTGAGATTTAACCGTGTAATTAGACCTGAAGGTACATCTTTTTTTTTTTTTTATATAGATTTTTCATATACAATTAGGGCAACATACTGTCAATAAAAAGAAGTAGGCAACAACTAACAAAGAGCTAATGAGCTTGCCATGTTTAAGAAAATAAACATTGAAGAAGCATATTTTCTAAAATTCTAAGAATGATAAAAGAAAAAAAATTGAAATAACATAAAATCTAAATTTTGATAAATCATGTAATGGTTGTTAATCATTGGAAAAAATGATCAGGTAATCTGTCAAAAATAATGTGAAAATCAACCAAGTGCTAAACTACACATGCTGATGAACTGAATATGAGTTTTGTTTTTTTCATATGTAGTAGCAGTCGTTTTGTGTAACATTAATAATGTATCTTGATTATTCATAATATATTCAGGTTTTCTTTTCTGAGCTTTTTTGTAAATTTAATACATAATATAAATCATTATAAATAAATATCTACTGCAATTTATCTTTTTATGGATTTCCATTACTATCTAAGTTCATTTAATGTTTGGATATAAAAATCTTTCACAGCAAGACGTCCTAGCCGTCAGTCCCTCTGTTGTCCAGCAGATGGCACCGTAACGCCGCTGTTTGTTTTTGCAGTCTGGCCTTCCTTCCGGAGATGACGGGACAGCTCGGCCCAGAGAAGCACTGGTAAGGAAGAAGAACTTCATCTGTGTTAGCAGGCAAAAAGTTTTTTTATTTTTTATCACACATAATGAGAGATAACCTTATATTTTGTTTTTCGTTAGAAAGGAAAAAAATTGTGAATTTAAAAAAGAATAAGAATTTAATGCCTGTGTTGTCTCTTAAAGCTGATTTTATTTGCTCTGCTGAAAAATCACTTTCATCAGAAAATGGACTGCACAGCTTGGGTTGCTCAGGTCTGAGTGGTCGCTGTGACTTCTACCAACAATGATTACCAGTAGTTTTCCTTTTTCTTTTTTTTAAATTTATTTAATTAATTTATTTTTTATAATGGTTATAGGAAAGTGTTTATTAGGCGTGCTCTTCTTCCTAAATGGGATGGAATACGTCCCAGGTACACTCTGCGTCCTTGTATGGGCACAACACCCAGGTTGTGTTGTTCAGCCAGCATGTCTCAATGTCATTCGCCACCATTCACTCTTCATCTTCCCTCCATCATCCCTTCATGCCAAGGCTAATTTAATCCTGCGTTTATTGATTGTGGGAGCATTCTCCCAGGCTTTCTTTCAATTTACTTCAATTTCATCATCCCGGCGCACTTGAAGGCTGCCTCCTCAAAAAGGGAGGAAATTCTCGTTGCGAAGGTCCTGATTCGAGACCGGCTGACAAGTCCCACCACCGCCACCCTCCTCACTTCCAGCGCCTTTTCTCTTTTCTCTTTTTGATGAGCTGCTCTTTCCCAGTTAAGTGGATTATTACAGTAGGGATAATTCTTGTCACATGGCATTATTTGGATGAGGTGAATAATTGAAATTTGTGTCTGAAAGGATTTTATCTGGATGAGAGGAAAGGGAGTGCTGGCAGGGTTGGGAGGGACAGGAGGAAGAGAGCAGACACACACACACACACACACAGTCTCACACTTGTGTACCATTCATGTGCACATGGCCATGTCAGACAGCGCAGTGTGTCAGACCGGGGACACCAGTCATGTTAACAGGTTCTGACTCACCTCGCCCAGATCAGAAGGCCCTGGCACACTGCACGGACTCTCCTTGGTGGCAAAAGGCCCCATCTCTGGGGGGCAACGCTGCAGCCTTTGCCACCGCACAACCCAGAGGGGCATCTCTGGACCTGCAGTTACAGAGGCTGCTCCAGACACATTTCCTCCTCAGTGCAGCGGGATATCAGCCGCTGAAAACTGCCACTGTTGCCTTTTGGTCACTTCCATCCTGACATTTTCCTCCTTCAATCCCCACCCTCCTTAGACCTTTAGCTCACCCCATCCGTGTGGCAAATACTTGTGCATTTAAAATGAGCGTTGCAGTGACAGTGATTTGGAAAATGTGGCCTTGTTACTCCAGTATATAAAGCAATAGACGGACAAAGGTAATGTGGTTTGATCAGGTTCTAACCTGAAACGTTTTTTAAGTCAACTGACCAAAAATAGATACACAACAATTCAGATGTTCAATAAACAGGAAATTATTTAATTAAACACTGACCAAAATTAATCTTGGGATTCTTAATGTTCCTTATCTTAATCAATCAGTCTATGATTAAAAAAATAATAATTTAACAGATTAAACCTTGAGATTATGTTTTGAAATATTTTCATTCCATGATATTCACTAGTATTAAAAAACCAGAAGACCCCATTTCACTTATTCACCTTAACTCACAATATGTATCTATATACCAAGTTGCATAATTTTTACTTGATGACGATCTTTTTTGATTATGGGAAACTCAGAAAGGAGTACAAACTCATGAGAAAAATTGTCAATGAGTGCAACGTCCAGTAATTTGAACTGTCTAAAAAGTAGCATCTTTTTCACCCTACACAATTGATCTTCTGAAATGACAAGTTAAGGAGTAATAAGCTATCCCCTCAAGTATGGTTAAATACATTTAAAGCATAATCCCATTCCTAAATCTAGGAGAGGGCTCTTTTTTAAGTATCTGCTTAATCTGCTTCAGTCTTCAGCGAAAAGACCACAAAGATGTTGTATTCAGATTGAACAAATGCTGCAACTAATCTTGATGGGTAATTTCAAAGCAACGA